TGGAAGGGTGCTGGCGGCTGCACACCTTCCCCGGAACGTTTAGAATACTTCTGGTTCGAACGTCCCAACAAGACAACGTGTGCTACTCTTTCCTTCCTGACAGCAGCAGGTTATGAGTACTTCATATCATAATTATTAACCACTGTTAATAAATAATTGTTCATCAGTTTTAATAACATAGACAAGCTGTCCTAGCTCGCACCAGAAGTTCTGTTTGAGCCAGTAAGGGCCTGGGTGAGATTATAATGAAGCCATACTTACACCCTTTTTTCTTGGATTTATGGCTTCATTTCTATAGCCACAAAATATTAGTACTATTTTTAGTTGCCCTCAATTTTTATCTGTCAGTGTGCCGTGTTACTTTTTGAAATGGTGTGCTTCTGGCAGCTATCCTGTCCACAAGCAGTATGCTCTGTAATTCAACTACTCTTGTGCAATAAAATGCTTCTGCAGTCCTGTTTTCAGTTTGTCCCTTGGTAAGCTCATGTGATGCCAGCTAGATCTTGTGTTACAGAAGACCATGACTAATCATCCCCCGGTCACTTTCTCCGTGCTTCTCATGATTCTGTTGACTTCTGTCACATCCTCTTCAGTCCAGGCGAAGAAGAATCGTAGCTTATTCCTAGTACAAAACATGTTCCATAGCTTCAGTCCTCCGTATTATACCTTTTCCAATTCTATTCTGTTTCTTTGTGAATGGAAGAAAGGAGAGAAACAGAACACTATTATTCAATGTTTAAAACAAGTTTTCCATTAGGTTCTCTATGTCTTTCTTACTAATCCTTAACCTAATTTTACGCCTATTGTACTTACCATCCCAGAGCCTCTAACTACCTCTCTATTGGTTTCTACCAGGCCTAGTTTGATGAGAAGTTGTACGTGTGAAAACAGGTACATTCAAACAGAACTATTCATATGGTGAAATGTTTTGGCAGTTGCAAAAAACTCAGCTTTACTCCCTACAACTTACACAATGAAGACACAAACATGCACAAGTATTAATAATAATACAAACTTTAAATGTTTGTGTTATTTGCTCTTTGTATAGTTCAAAGTAGAATAAAAATGAAAGTGAACATTGTATATGAACTTCTGGAGAGATTAGGTCATTCTCAAGATAGTATTTTAACAAATTCCTAAATGTTTACATGCAGAAATGTGATTTTTAGCTTGCTAGTAAACAAAAAGCAAGTAGCACATGTTTTTGATAATTTCCTTGTATTGCTTTTGTTACATGGAAATGCACTCATTTCTTCTGTCATTCCAAAATGTAGTAAATTACAGTCCTAAATTAGCAATGCACACAGGCTTGACCTTAAATCATTCAATTAGGCAACAAATTAATCATTCTGTCCTCAATTCAGACAGCATCTTTTGTAGTACTGATAGCTAATTAACTTCCCCCTTTTGCAGTACCTAGCAACTTCACAGGTTTGTTTTATGACTGTAAATGTTTCAGTACGTTAAATGGTTAGGATAATACTCTGAGCTTATTTTTTCTATTCAGCCTAATGTTCAAAATATTACAGCCACATATAAATGAACTAGGCTACAAAATGTCAAACACAGTTGTCAAATATTTACCTGGGCTTTACCAACTAAATAAAGTAATGCTGTGTTTCAGTAACAATGGAAAACTGCTGAAAAATTAGACTGAACATACTTAATAAAATCTTAAAATAATAAATTACCTACTTTTAAAAAATAAAATATAAGCCAATGTTTATTATAATGTATTTTCAAGAGCTATTCTTTTTTGTAGGTTTTGCACTCATAAGTTTTTCAAATTATGTTAATTTAAATGTTGTTTCCAACCACTCTTCTTAACCATAGAATCATGAATTTATATAAGTATTAACGGAAAGGCATAATGCATTTGCATGTTCTGGACAAATACACATATTAGAGTCCTTTCTAAATAAGTAATATAGAAATAGCCCTAAGAGGATAGGAATTAACCACAGATTAGAGAAAATATGGCTTTTTTTGCCATATTTTCAGACAGTCCTCTAATATAGCCACCAATTTTTCCATGATTTTCTTAGTAGAATTTGGTACTTCATATAAGAACTTAGGGAGAGAAAAGACCAGACAGCAAGAGGTAACTGGAAAATACTAGCTTTTATCTTATACCTTAAGAACCATTAGGACTTTTGTTCCTTTCTTTTTTTGAAGAGGAGGGGTGCAAAAGATTGCTCTTCAGTACCTGTTCTATAGTTCTCTGTGCGTGTTGGTTTCCTCTAGGGAGGCACCTGGAGATCGGTAGCTTGGTCCCCTGTGAAAAAAAACAACATTGCATACGCATCCATTTAGAAAGTATGGGCTTGATTATGCTCCCAGAGATATTTTTTGAAGTTCTGCCTTTGTTTTCTTTCAAGGCCTTACATGTTTCCTAACCACTGACAATCATATGCCCACAGGATGACAAATGGGCAGAGGTGATACAGTATTAGGGATGTTGTAGAAATGACCGTGTACTTTTCTATCTGCTTTCCAGCTTGTGAGGTTCTATGCATCACAGATGGAACGATGAATGGTCCTATTGATTGCTGTGTGTGTTTGCAACCCTTAAAAAGAGATACTTTTTGTATCAACATACACATCTATATACACTCAGCCGCTAGCATTGCCATCACCAGCACTACCCGTACCTACCTAGTGCTGTGTACCTCTACACCTGATTCTTTCAGTAAAGGGGGAGGAACTGCATTACTGGGAGACAATTTTCAGAAGTTTTAGCTGTTTCTTTCTGTAGGTACAATATACTTGAAGTCAGTTGAAGGAAAAAGGATGATTTTACTTGCAAGTTACTGCACTGAACATAGGCATGTGACTTATCTCAGCCCTCTCAGTGTTTCCTCTATTCATGTGACTTAGGGTTTAGGTTACTCACGAGAAAAGTCAAAATTTCCAAATTGGCTTTGTTTCAGTGTATTATTCGGAAATGGTGAAGTAAGACAACGTGACTGTAACATATATGAGATGGTTCACATTATCCTTCAACTAATTTCTGAAACAGCTGGCTTCTCCTCCACTCCTGGAGGGCTCTGTCCTTTATTCAGAGGCATCGAGGTTGGTTTCAAATTAGAGTAATCACAGAATCCATTTATAAAATGTGTCACTTTTTTAAAAAATGTAAGATATACAAGAAGGTGGATAAAAAATAACTGTGCTTCCCCCCCCAATAAGGGAAAATTAGCCAGTTTTAACTATCTATCTGAATTGACATGCACTCTAAGCTAGGTAGCCCTAAGTATTTCCGAACTATACATACATTTTATGGTTTAAAATTATGGAGCATACCTTTGGCTGTATATGAAAATATTACTATAAACTACATAAAGTCATGGACCAAGTTTTCACTCATACACTGTGCATTCCATTGTCTGTTTACAATTTATGGATATCTTTCTCTAGAGAAATCTGAAAAAATGTCAGAAAATCCCACATCTGGCAAGACCTCTGTGAAAAGTCCAAAAACCTCAGCAAAGAAACAGAAGGGTGAAAAGAAAGCTAAGAAATCTCCAAAAGGAATACAAACACAACTTGGTATGTAAGTTACAGCAGCAACAAAACAAGCAGTAGCCTGGGCTTACATGACAGCTACTTAAATTATTGTGGGCCCATGCGTTTAAGTAAATGAGAGATAAATTAGAATATGCTGTTTTATATAGATGATAGATCTACAATTACTGATTATGGCTTTGTAGGCAATATATGGAACCAACCTACATTGCAATAATTACATTTTGTCTTCGTAGTTTAGATTTAACAGTTTATGGTGTCATGATAGTACTGAATGGGAAATTGGGAGGCTTAATACATATAAAGTAGGGATATTCACAAAAACTAACAGCCCAGGGAGAGACCACCAGGCAGAAAGAGGTGCCCCCAAAAGGAGGAGTTCAAGTGCTCAGGATCACACTGTGAAGGTACAATAATAGAGCTTGGAAATAAACCAAAGTCTCACCGTTTAATTTTGCAGTGCATTTTATTGCATTATTTTTCTGAGCTGCTCTGAGATACTATCTCACTTGTGTAATTTACAAAGTTTATAGTTAATGAAGTGTAAAGCTAATGAGCCTTTGCTATATACAAATATTTCTTTTCAGTGATTGGTACATGTTCTTAGAAACGGTGGGCATGTACTCTTGCTTGGTTTTGGTTTGGTTTTGTTTCATGGAATTTTTTCTGCCATGACAGCCACCCACCTGAAGTTCCTTTTGCCTTTTCATCACCTTTTCCCTCCCAGCTGATGAATAGCTGTTGTGCTGCAGAGAATATTCTGCACATGAATGATCATCTCTTCCTGTCCCACCTCGCTGTGAGGTTTGCACACTCTCTCTCAGGAGCTGAAGAAAACCTGGCTCCTGCAGCACCCTGCCATCCAGAGCAAGCCTGCCCACCTCACTGCTGTCACAGGGGACTAATGTCTGCTCCTACCTGCACACCTCCGAGTTCTGCTGTGTTCTGATGTTAGCAAGCTTTGCCCATTTATCTCTTCTTCTTACATGGTAACTGGCCCAAGCAGGTGCTATGAGGTAGCAGTCAGTGCAGTTTTCCTCTGTGGAAACTGGAGCGTGTTCCACAATATTACAGGTTTCTTTCAGCTTCTTTCTTATGCAGACGACCTGCTCAAAATCAAAATGGCTTTTAAATATACGTAGTTTCAAAGTATGCTAACATCTCCTTAAGATACAGACCTATTTTAAAAGGCTTCCCTCATTTCTTGTGTTAAATTTGATACGAGTATACATTAAGCTTTGTTTCCTCTTCAGAGTTTGGTTTTACACGTATATAGAGATTTTAAATATGGCCCTGACAAGAAGAGTACTGTATATTTATAGTTACTTTGTTAGGAAGAAAAAAATACTGATAACGTGTCATTATATTTCAGGTGAAAAAGATGAAGTTGATCTTTCTATGGCTAGTATAGGTAAGGGCTATGATGACTGTTCTTAAAAGTAATACTTTTAAATACTTTAAACATTTTGAAGCTTCAATGTTACTAATGCCAAGGAATGAAAAGGGAAGGTTTTTTTATGAATGGGAAAAATTAGAACCTATGAAGAAGTGCAGCTATTACAGTAGTAATTACAGTACCAGTCGCCTGGTAGCAGGCAGTGGAGGAAGGAATGCGGAAACAGGTGTGGGTTTGCACAAGATGCTTTTATGTCGGGTTGAGAGGAGTTGGGATCTACAGAAATAAAGAGCATCACAACAGAATTATAGGGTACAAAATGTCTGCATTTAGTAATTAATAGGCAATTTAAAGAAAGTCTTTGAACTTTGTTAAATTACTGAATCTTGTGAGAAGATGATTTAGCCGGTAACTTGGTTTTTTGATCATAGGCACTGACTGATGTCTTTTGCTTTGTAGAAAAAAAAATCTTCCATTTAAGTGTCACAAGGTATCGTGCACTTCTCTTGGCTTATGAGCAAGAACAAGGCAGTTTTATGTAGTTTTAAGGGTGGCCATAGTTATGAGCTAAAACATGTAATTATTTCAACTGAAATATATTCTTTTACCTTAAGTGTTTTACCATAAACACTAAATGATTTGTAATTTTTTTTTCCACATCTCTAGTTATCTTTTTATTTCGACCTGATTTGTGCAGGTTATATATTTGGACATAACTTGAATTGATATAAATGTATACTTCATCTACAGTTTACAGGGACAGCCTAAAAGTTTATCTTCCTAATTAGCTTTTAACGGCACATCTTCTATTGCTACAAGCTAAAACAATGTGGCAATTATACAAACCAGGTAATTTTTAAAGTAGCCATAAATCACTTGTCTTCCATAATCCTGAGAGCACACACGGGTGGAATTGAAAATTGCACTCTGATTGTCTTCATTGAAATGGGTGCACTGCAGTTAATGAAAATGGACAATAAATCATCCCTCAGATTATGAAAATGTTGCTTTTAAAATTGTATTTTGGGTGTTCGTGGAGATACTCACTTTTGACAGTAAAAGATAATTTTACCTCCACCTAGTGGCAAATAAGGTTAGAAGCCATAATATCTAAACTATTGCTAGAAGTCTGTTGCTAAAAGCAGGAAAAAAATGCTACTATATGCAGACACTGTCTGTGCAGGATTTAACCTATATGCATGATATCTCCTTGGGCTAAGGCCTGCACATCATCTTTTCTTCTCTTAGAGCTTTTTGGTCCTTTGTGAAGTTCACATAACACTAGGAGTTGTTGCATATTACAAATTACATGGCTACAATTTAGTATTAAAACACAATGTGAAGCCTTTTATTAGATGCTAGATACTTTTTACTGGAAAGCAGTATTCAATAAAAATTTTCATAAGAAGAATTCTAGTATCAGCTCTTTATGTTATAGTATTGAATCTGTAATATAGATCTTATAGTATATAATCTGCTACAATGTAAAATTCTGTAACATAAAATTTTATTCCTTTAGACCAAAAGATGTGTATATTGTAATTCAGACTCTACTTTGCCTTTAACTTGGACTTATATCCATAGAGCAGTAAAGAAAACAGACTGCCTGTCCTACTCCATTTCCTCTCATAGTGATGTCTACTGTATTTTTGCTTAACTTTAATGCATGCTTGTATTGTTTCATTTGACATTGAAACCTACATCTCTTTGAAAAGATTTTTTTTTAGCATTAACATTTTTGGACAAGGCTGATTCAGCATGATTCAGCATTTTAGAAAAATAAAATAACACAAGTTTCCTGAATAAACAAGTTACTTCTGTTCATGATTTTTGATGCATAAACAAAAAAATAACTGTTCAGTTTTACTTGTATTTATTTGAGATGTGGATATTACTTCTGAAAAAATTTCCCGTAATAACCAGCAAATTATGTTTATACATTTTCTTTAGGATCTAACTAGTTGCACTAGCCACAAAAGCAACTCCAAGAACTGTGATATGTACAAATTTTTTTGTTCCTTTTTTTTTTCTTCTGTTTATTCTGTCCCCAGAGCCAGCTGTGCAGTGCAGAGGATAAAAATTGCATTTTGTTTTGGTACACAGCTCTAGGTTTCTATCCTCATTCTGTTCTATGGAATTGAATTTGCAAAATGTCTAATTCTTTTTGCTCCAGTATATCAAAACATAAAATACATCTGTACTGTTGCAGTTTGTGCTAGGGTTTGAGTCTGACTCCTAATGACATCCTAATGAGACCTCATGCCCTTGGCTAGGGTGACCTTGGAGTCCTGCAGATAAACTTTTGCAGTTCCTTAAAATTATTAGATGTTTCAAGTCACCCTGGAATCTTTCTGAGCTTGGTCTCATAGCAAAATTGATAAGCAAAAGAAGAATCCAAGTCTCAGCCTCATTAACTACAGAGAGTAGATCTCAAAAAGCACAGGGACTCCAAAAGATAAATGAGTCCTGGTTGGTCTGGTGTCACCAACAATGAGTTTGGACCAGGCAACTTTCAGAGACCTTTCTAAATCAACATGTCTATAATGTGGTAGTTTTTGGTTTTATTTTTAAAGCATCCACACAGAAATGGCAGAAATCTGAGCTACCGAAACCAAAAATCATGCAATATTGACCACAGCTTATAAAGAAAGAGAATTAATGGGCTGTGCATGCTATAAAATGGCTTGTGTATGCTGCAAAATAACTAGTGAATGCCAAGTAAATCATACTTGGTTTAATGCAGGGTGTACCAGACCCATCATACATGTCACTAGTTTTAGCTATGTCTGTAGTAGAGCTGGTGCAGTGGAGGAGCAGTACTGAAAGATTTTAAAGGATAAATGTCAGAACCATCAACCATTATGTATTACATGATAAGCTTATGCAGAGATTTAGCTTCCTGGATGATAGAGATTAAGATGGATTTATTGTTCTGTCAGTCCTTGTTGGCTTAGGCTAGAGATGACTTCTCAAATCATGCTGAGCCAGCTGGTCAATATCATCACTTTAGATATATCAACTTCAATTTGAGACACACACAAGGAGAAAAATATCACAGATTCTGGGAATTAAAATAAAATATTAAATAGCTCAAACTAGTAGACTGAAACAGAATATAGAAAGTACTAGCTATTATCACAGAGGCCAGCCCATTTCAGTACATAAAAATCCCATGTATAGAAGTCCCTAAATCTTTTCCACCTTCCAGTTTATCAAAAAGATGAACATTCAAAACAAACACAAAGGTATTGAAACCTTGTTTAGATTAACCATTGGCTTAACATAGCATTTCCCTCCAGGGAAGGACTAGAGTGTCCTTATTCAAGCCCTCTCTTACATCAGAGCCATGCAGTTGTGTGTGTCCTTAATGTATTAAAACCAGCCCATTGGTGACTCTTCACTAAAGCTCTTAATCACCTGTCGATCAAGAGCAAAAAAAAAAAAAAAAAACTCATGCTAGTAATCACATATTCATTACATAAGAAATATTAGGTACAGTCTGTAATGTAAATGTAATGTAAAATGTAACACAATTTGTATTCCATGCCTTCCAAAATAACAAAACTGAGAGATTCAAAGGCAATCTGTTAGGAAACAGTAAGGGCCCAGGGTTATTAAGGTATACGGTTATGTTTAAACACAAACTTTGAATTTGTTTGTCATGCAATTTTGCTTTCTTTCACAGGCCACCCTGAAATCTTTCCTTTAATTTTCACTACAAAGACCCAAGAAATTTTTAATTGCCGAATTGGTGAAGATGTCACAGAAAAAAACTGTTTCAAACTTATTAAAAAAGAGGATATCATTCAGGACCTGAAAACAGCTGCAATTTCTGATTTCCACCCTGTCAAAAAAGTTGTCCTAGTATGTAGCTTATTTCATTCGCATGTTAAGCCTTGATGATATCACTGTATATATTCTTTTAATGATAACATCTGTCCTTTTCTGACTATGTAAATACACAAATGCTTTAATATCCAAAGGCTATAGGTCATGGACCACTGTCAGCTCAAAATTTCTCATGGATCACGATGTACTTTTTTTTTTTAACTAACTTTAGACTGAAAATATGCTAAAAGTAATGTAAATATTACTAGTCTTGATTCTGTGAACTGGCAGAGCTTCACATATTTTGGCTTCAAATAATTTATGTTCTAATTATTGAGAATCATTAAAAGTGTTTTTTTTTTCTGTTTAATTCTATGAAGACAGTAGTTTTATCCCAGACCTATATTTATTACAAAACAAAATCCAGGTGTTCTTTTCTGTTGGCATATGGAATTCTCTGTTGGGACCACAAAATTAATCAAAGATACTGAATTTACACTCGTAGCAGCTTTGCCAGATACAGGCTTATGTCTGTTTTGGATATTATTTGCTTTCAGTTTTCCACTAATTGTTTTACTTAAAATAGGAATATCCAGGGGAAGAACTTCTGGTAGTTTTTGATGCAAAGTTCCAGTATGGACAGAACTTTTACCTTGTTGCTTCTGAGGAAGCCAAGGAAAACATTCTGAAGGTAAGACAATGCAAGTATTGGAACCACAGCATTCTTCTGCATATGAGTATTTTCAGAGTCTGGTCTCACATATACTTCAGGAATGGTATTGTATTTGTAAGCATCTGATGTGCTTGGCATGGTAGGATGTTTCTGTGAAGGTTAATCTGATAATGGAAAAATATGTAAAAGACTGTAAAAATATTTTTTTTTGTACTGAGAAAGACTGAATAAAATTTTTGTATTTTACTTCCAAGGGCCAGTATAACCCCCATTGCTGCATTTTTATGATGAGTGTTATTTTCCTCTGCTAAGACCAAGGTTTCTAAGTGAGACATAGAAATAGAAGATTGTAATATATTGGTCATCTTCAAAGAAATGTTATGCTTATTTTTTACAATATGTATGTATATATTCTTCAAATCATACTTTAAAATGTCCTTGAGTTTTAAACAACTCCAGATACACAGATTTCCCCTTGTGCATTGCATCAAATGAGAAGGTTTATATGCAAATTATGTAATTTTTCAACATGAGTTTGTCACTTAGCATAAGAAGCAACAATTAATAGAAAAGCAAACTAGGCAGGAGGGCCTAGTGTAGAAAATCACTATAGATACCTTTTTATATAACAGTTATTTGCTTTCAAGACACCAACCTCTCCTTAGTAGTTAAATATTAGTTAAATTTAATATACTAAATATAATAATTATTTAGGAGTTAAAAATATTAGTAGTTAAATATTAAAAACATTTATTGTAAAATTCAAATGCACAAATGAACAAATGGGACCTAGCCCAATCATACCCACGGCCACTGTATAGCCAGAACTACTGCACTGAGGTAGAAGTGAAGAATGTGTGAGTAAACACTGAAAACTGTGTTTCTAGGTCATACTTGCCTTTCATTAACAAATTTTTGAAAAAGCACTATTTTGCACCGTTTGATGTCACAGCCTCCAGAAACTGCAGAAGAAAAAGAGGAAGAAAAAGAAGAAAATAGAGAGGAAGCTCTGGAAGTCCAGCCTTATAAACCCCCTGTCCAGAAACCTTGGGTTTCTCTTGGCAGCGAAAGGGAAGTTGAAGAAGAATCTGTTAAAGAGACTGCTCCAAAGGTCAGAATCAATAGGTACTGAATCAAATAAAATTCATTTGGTTTTGTGATATTTAAGTTCCTTAAAAAAAAAAATTAAAAAATTCAGAGTTGCAATCCTAGTTTTTCTTGGACTCTTTCAAGAAAACAAAACAAAAAGAGTGAGAACTAACTCAACTTTTAACAAAAACTGAAACTTACCACCACCCCGCTCTGTTTTCTTTAAATCCTGCAGATAAGGCATGTGACTGTACTAGACATACCTACTACTTAAGCTGTAAATTCAAAAGTCCTGATCATCCAGTCATTAGCATCGCTGCCACTTTTTGCTTAGTTCACTATCTGGCCAGATTACAATTTGAATCATTGCAATTATATTCTAAGGACCTAGTTCTGTTTCCTTGAAGCCAAATGAACTCTTCCCTTACATGGCTGGCATTTAAGTAGCATGCAGCACTTGTAAGGGTTCTCTACCTCAGAATAAATGTTATCAACTGCAAGTTATTACAAACTGATTTTACAGAACGACCTATTTGATTACTATATCTACAGATTATACTGAGAAAATTTTATCTCCAAAAAATTAGATCCACTCACAGCTGCCACTTAATTTGTGACCTACAGGGCATCTTCAAGCATTTAACTCTCCATCAATGATTTTTAGTCAATACCTAAATCCCTCTTCAGGGAAGACTGGCTAAGTTTTGACAGTTCTCAGCAACCAGACATCTTCCTCATACCTAAGGAGATGTTCTAAAGATAATTCACAGTCACTAATCTTAGTGCATGTTCACAGTCTAAGTATTCTTTACCTTACCTTGCTGGCAAGGTCCACTCAGAAGTATTCTCAGCCTACAGTCCTTTCCAGTTCTATGGGAGGTGCTGGGAAAAAGTACCTGCCTAGAAATCCAAAACAAAGCAATACCTCTCTTCTGCCTGAAATCAAGTGCCTACCTCTCTTTGTGGGTAGAAGCCAAGCCAGATCCCTCTTTCTTCTTAGTTGTCACTGTAAAGAAACTCCTCACTCACATTTTTGTGGATCCCCTTCAGGGTACTTTTCTGTCCTCAGAGAGCAAAGGAAGCTGGAATGACTCACCCAAAGTTCAGAATTGCACTAAGAGGGAAGAGAAGAAAAATTAGGTCTTGGAAGTCCAGCAAGTCTTCCTGCAAATCAATCATTTAATTAAAGGTGCAGTTTTAATAGTATGTGAATTACAAAACATAATTCTCTTACCCTACTAGCAATAATCCAAAATGTTAGCTAAAAGCAACTTCTTGTTTTAGAAATACAAACCTGTCTTCTGTTACTTATGTAGGTTATTTATGTGAGCACTTCAGAATTTTAAAATGCAGAAATATAAGTAAACTCAGTACAGAAATCATTAAAACTAGTTCTAAAATTATATCAACACTGTCATTTTACAGAATGAACTTTCCAAAAATTTTCCCCTCTGCTAAGTAGAGAAATATCTTTTTTCCAGATTAAGTATATGGTTTCTCGGGTACAGAGGAGGTTTGGTGCACCACTTACATTGACTGATAGGAATGCTTCCCATGTAGGAGACAGTTACGTTGAATGCACACCCTACCAAGACAAAACGTTCATTATTAAAGTGCTTGAAAATGATGTGGGTGTACAAATAGTTCCCAAAGTAAGAGAAGCTAGTACTCAGACAAAATGGTAAGTGTGAGAAAATACCATCTTATTTATTACGCTACACACTGCTTCTGATCTTAGCTAAAGTTCTGTACGTCAGCTCGTCTGGAGTTAGTTACAAACCAATGAAGAGAATAGAATTGGATTATCTGTTTCCATCTTTCCTCTTTCACTCTTTTCCAAAGAGTTTCTAGAAAAACTGAATCTACTTAGCTTTTAATTTTACACATTATATGCATTTCTGTCTTTGAAATTGTTTCTATACTTACATTCAAATTTATTCCAATTTGTTAGGACCTATCCAAAAAATGCAGCTACGCAGTATTTTCCTAGACAGTTGTCAAGTGAAGAGAAGGAAGAAAGTCTGTCATCTAAGAAGCTGAAAGATTTTCTTACATCAGTACATTTAAGGTAAAATTACTGCAGCATTACATATTACAGGCTACCTGAAATAATAGAGAATACAACCAAGAGTTCTTGTCTGAGTGGACTATTTGGTCAAATACTGATTTTGTTTGTTTGTTTCTATATACATGTTTGGTTTTTCTTCACTTGCTTATTATTTTAATATTAACAAATATTGATATTTCTTTCAATGAAAATTAACATGAAATAGATGCCATTTAATTATGAATATTGGTTTAAATTTATATTATAACATCATTTCAACCAAGCTGCAAAGCTGATCTTTCAAACACTGCTCACTCAAGCAGAGGTTCATGCAGAAGAGCAAAAGTGCTGTCCTACAGCCCTTAGTTATGGGACAAGTGGCACTCACTGACACCTTTAGCACAAGAACTAGATAATTGTACTGTACTAGATCCAAACAGAACTAGAGGTAAATTCTTGGTACAATGAGTTATTTATATTTAAATGGAACAGACTTTCCTTACAGTGATGCATCACTGAGGAATTAATACTTTCTTTGGTTTTTTTACTACTGTAGTCATAATTTTGCGTAAAACAAAAGCTGCCTCTTCACAGTAATATTTGTGATTGTGCTACTGCGTAGTCACATGTGGATTACTGACAGTGTTAACTTCTCTTTTCACAAAACAGAATGGAAATTGCATTGCAGCAAAATGAAATTATGAATCCTTTTTTTGATGACTGGAAGGCCCTAGCAGAAGACGAAAGCAGCTCTGATGGCAAACCAGATGTTTATCTTAAAGCATACCAATCATTTACAGATCTGCACTATCTCAAGAACAAAACTATTAGCTGTGTTTGCTGGCATCCAACTATTCATGGTAATGCAGATAAAATACTGATTTGAGACTTGAATGACAGGTATTTATGTGACAGCTGTAAAATAGTCATCTTTCATAAAATTATCAGCTTTTAAATTTAAAAACAAATAAAAACTGATTTAGTATGTTGGTCTGAATTGCTGATTTGGGCAGAGTTCAGACAGGCCATGCCAAGTCACTTACATTAATGTGTAAGTAAGTGGAGATCATAGGAAAGGGAAATTTCTCCCTTATGAGGCTCATTTACGTGGGGCTGCAACTGTTCCAGGACCTTCTGGTGGCTCTGCATGCCATTGTTCCTTCTGCCCATGGCTGGTTCTTCTAGCATGCCCAATGCTTGTGAGGAATGTTACAGCCACAATGAGACATAGCTGTGCCAGGGAGCCTCACAAGGCACACTAAGGGCCTCCTCTTGCACCCTGCCATGGATTATTGCTCTATGCAACCAGGCTTAAAGGCACAATTAAATATATATATACTTAATATAAACTTATGTAAATGTTCTAGTTTAATTTAAAAAGCCAACACTGCAGCCTGTGTAGGAAATTAAATCAGCTACAAAAAATTTGCCATGGTGGGTGGCCAGGAGCATATGCCTGTCACATCATTTCAGGTGTAGTATTACACCATTAAGAAGTAGTAGCAAGGAAGTTGAATTTTACCCTTATGCTTAGGTTCTATGACTCATTGTTAAATAACTGCATTTTAAGTAATAAAAACAATTTCCTCAAAGTTAATCTGTAAGAAGAAAAACATAAATACATGATTGGTTTGGGTTTTTTTTGCACTGGATTCAGAAGGTGTAAACATAAGACACTTTAATTAAGCAGCATGTTGAAACTTGAATTGTCTCTTCTCAAAAGGTTCATTTTTTTCTCGATCAGGGATTATAGCAGTGTCAGCAAGAGAGCAGCTTTCTTATGAGGAGCAAGTTAACCTGTCTGATAAGTCATTGCTGCAGCAGCCAGTAATTGTTTTTTGGAGTTTTTCTGACCCTGTCCACCCTCAGGTATTTAATCAGGACTTTTAAATAAGCCAAGCGTTTAAATAACAAGAGAAAATCAGTGTGACTATTTCTCAGCTATTTTGTTTTTCTTTCTAGTTAATGTTGGAGTGTCCTCAAGACATTTACTGCTTTCAGTTCAGGCCAAGTGATCCAAATATCATTGCTGGTGGCTGCGTCAACGGACAGGTGTTAATTCTCTCTTTAAGAGTAAAATTGGATATTTCTATATTTTCTTACTGTATAAAAAAAAATAAAGGCAACCACATGTGCTCAATATCCATAGTGTCACAAGGCAGATGTCACAGAGTCTCAGAAATTCTCTGTTCCTCTACTAAATTTATGCCTGGCTATTACTATAGCTGAGCCATTACTGTTGTGATGCTTCTGTGTAGTACTGATAAATAGGTCAAGCTGTAAATACTTTTTTTTTTTTTTTTTGAGAAAACTGTAGCCTTTCAATTGATTGTATCAGACTGAAGAAGCAATACTTCAAAGACTTCATAAATCCTAGGGCAGAGAGTGAATGTCTTATTTTTCCCCAAACTTCCTTGAATTATATCTGAAAAAAAATACCTATCAATGCAAAGGATTAAATAATTAATAATATATTAATTTCTCATTGTAGGTTGTGCTGTGGGATATTTCTGAACATGAAGAAATGCTGCAAAATGCAAAAACTGTTGCTGATGGAATCCAGGTAACAGCTGTCAATATGGCGAATGCTTCTGTTCTAAATGTACTGCAATACACTTAGATGTGTTTGGGGAAAAACAGGTGAAGGTATTCTGACCCTAAACACATGAGTAACTAGTCTTTGCAATGAGAGACTGGAAAGGATAAGAAACCTGGTGAGTTCATGAAATAAATCCATTATCACACTATAATTTCTACTTGATTAGTCCAGCTTAATATGTTTACTGCATTTTGTGCAGACTTAGCCTTCAATAAGACTACTTTATAATAGGCACTAATAAATATTCAGCTCTTGCCTTATGAAGCCTATCAAATACATACAGCAATTGTTGCTGAATGTAATACTGAAAGTTATTCTGGAAGTTTATGAACAGAAAGAAAAGGTAGCATAGAAGATGAGAAGCAGATTTCAGTGGAAGGAAGACTTTAAAGGGGATAAGAGAGATCCAAGAGCAGTAGAGGAACTAATGATGTAAGTGGATGTGTGTGTGCCTTTGGAGGCATGTTAGAACTCTCTTTAGAGCTTCATATTCAAAGGCCTGTTCTGATGCTTTGCATTTTGTTTTCCCAAAGGGAATATACAGACCCCTAGAAAGTTCTATAAACTGATCTGACATATGTGACAAAGCATTAACAGTACGTAAAGTGACTTTTTGACAGGTCTACTATTTTGTTTTGGAAATATACTAAAATATGTCTTTTTAAACATTTCTAGCCATCGCTTATGCAAGTCCAGCAGAGTAGCAGAGAGCCACCTCTAGTGAGACACTGTGCAATCTCTTCCATACAGTATAGTCATAAAAAACCAGTAACAGATATACATTGGCAACCAGATTGTTCTGAGGTGAGCTTAAAAATTACTTTTCTTCTTTTTATTGTTTTCTTAATATACTACCTCAGAAATCATAGTGTAAACTCAAGATAAAATATTAAAGATTCAATTATTTGTAACAGCCTTCAATATTCCTCACTGCACGTTCTAAATACTAAATAATGTAGTGTCACTTGTCCTGATCATTGCACTTTACAACTGTGCTGTGTTCTCAGTCTGGTATGAACCTGCTCATACTGGAAAAAAACTCTGTAGCTTTACTGAATATTATAATTCAAAATTATAATAAGCCTTTCATATCTAAAATATGTTGAATTTCTGCTATAAGCAGTCTATCCTGTCACCAAGATTTAAGAGAAATAATTTCAATTAATTAAATATCTAGGCACTCCAGGTTGGTGTTATTGTATTTACCTTAAATCTAGGTGCTGCCTGTGTAGTCAAAACTTACATTTTCTGTGATGATTTTAAAATTCCACGGTACTTAGAGTCTTTGTAGTTAAAGGGTCCAATGCTATTACAGGAGAACTGGCTGCTCATTTACTGCAATTGGTTGCCCAAATTAATTTGAAATGCGAATGTAGTCAAATGCAAAATAATGACAGTGGAGAAGCAAGTCGAGAGGAAGATCTTCTTTTAAAAGTTCTTTAAAAGCTTTATGCAAATTAATATATTAATAACTCCTTAAAAAACATTTTTAAGACTTCATAGACAGTGCAGTCCTTAGCAACATTACCAGAAAAGTGAGGAAGAGGGTTCACATATGTAATGGTTTGAAAACAAACCAATGAGAGACTCCAAGTCAGAAATACAATTTAATAAGAAAAAAAAATAAATAAAAGCAATAATACAAAGGAAAACCACAGACAGAGTCAGAATACAACCTGATACTCCATAGTTAGGGTGGTGGTAGCAGTCCAGATGAAACAGTGGTCTCGTAGAAAAGATCTGGTAGCTCTTGTCCTCTGGAAAATCCAGTGGGTAAGGCCCCCTGTGCTGTACTGAACCCCAGTTTATATCCAGGTGGGAGCACTTGGCTCCTCCCCCTGGGTGGAGCATCTCACAATGGGCTGATATCAGTCTGTGAGTCATGCAGTGGGTCCTTGATGGTCCATTAAACAGAAATAGCTCCTGGGGGGAGCTCTGTATGAGTCATGGGGCGAGGCATGGATGGGCCCATTAACAGGGAGCACTCCTCCTGCTGGGTGGGAAGGTGTTAACATCTCCCCTGACCTTGAACCTCTTTCCTTGTCTGTTATAGCCTGAGGTGTGAGGTCTGTCCTGGGCAGCTGCTACCCATGATTTTCTTAACTGCCCATGAGCAGTGACATAGAGAGTATAGAATATACAGTTTTGGTTCTACCCACATAAGGATAAACCGGTCCCAGCCCCTGTAACCATGACAACATATATCATAAAAAGAAAGCTGATACAACATTTTGTTGTTAAAGTATGCTATGGTAGTACCCATGGATACTAATTGGTACCAGATGTAAAACACAAAGAAAGGAAATGGATATCATAGTGCAGTTGTGGTGTTTGTTCTTTGGAGGGGGGTTGCCAAGGTTTAGGCTCAGAAAGCTGTTTTCTTGTTCATCTGGAATAACAGATACAGAGAACCCATGTGTGATAAATAACACTGACAAAGGAATCACTTTGTCAATATTTAACAGCATTTACTGGGACATACTTTTTGTTATATGAACATGGAATGTGTGTAAGCCTTTGCACAGTACTGCTGGTTTTATGGCACGGTTCCTGAAATCAGCAGTTTATTATTATATATAAATGAAAGTATTTTAAGTTCTATCCAGTTCTATCAGCTTTTCATGGTTGTGAGACTACCATTTTGACTCCATGCAGGCAACTCATTAATGAAAATAAGAGTAGGATTTGGCCTAAAAATAAAAAAATGTAGCTGAAACTTTGTCATACGGTTGATAAGTACAGTTTTAGCCAATATATATATGTTTTGCATATACTGGAAATCACATCATAGACTATAATCATGTGTTTCCCCACCCCTACACCTTTCCTTTATTTTTCTGAAGAAATTAAAATAGATCTGGTATAAAACAATGACTACTTGGTAAATTGTAAGTACTATAAAACCTGTAGATCACTTCATACCCAAACTAAATTATTAGTAATTAACATTTGAAGGCACCATTACAATCCCACAGTGTGGTCTAACTAAGCGGTAATTGAAGAGAGATGACAAGTGGTGGAAACCTGGCAAAGAGATATCACTCCCACTACACTTAACTGAGATAAATTTCTCAATTATTTGCTCTTCTGTTAAGCTGCACAAAAAAAAGTTAAACGTGGCAACCTAAGGAGGGTCTGACTTGCAGTGGTGCCAGCAAGCATTTATCCTGCTGACTTAA